AGGAACATTGTACAGGTAGTCCTCGAGTTACAATGACACTTGGGACCCAAATTTTCATCACTAAGTGATGCGATCGTAAAGTGCTAGGTCACGACATTGCTTAGCCAACGGCAACCCCTGCAATCCCCGTTGCTGTCATTAAACAAGGATTGTGAGTTGTTAAGCAAATGCCTCCTCGTAACTTCCTGCCAGCTTCCAACAACCAAAATCTCTGGGGAAGCCGGCAGGAAGTTGCAAGTCCCAGGTGGCTTGCAAGCAGGCTGCCAGGCAGGTAAGTGGCTGCTGCCAGGTGGGAGAGGGAGTGGGGGGTGTGGCCGAGGAGGGGCGGCATACATGCAGCAGGGCTTGGGATGGCTGCTGCCAGGTGGGAGAGGGTGTGTAAGGGTGTGCAAGTGGCTGGGCAGTGTGAGCGCAGAAAGGCTTGGAGAGACACAGTGTGAGGGTGAATGGGTGGTGGGGAGGCATGGTGTGAGTGCGAGGCTCAGGGAGGGTGTGTGAGGATGCATGGCTGGCATGGCGCAAGCATGTGGGGCTTGGGGCGGCTGCTGCCAGATAGGGGGGAGCACGAGTGGCCAGGGAGGTGCAGTATGAGCTCAGTGAGGCTTGGGGAGGGTGCATGAGTGGCCGGGGTGGTGCGGCGCAAGCACAGAGGGGCTGATACGTGGTGCACAGGTAGGGGAGACTTACCCAAGGAACATGCAACATTCCCTGTTGGCTTCCCCATTGACTTTGCTTGTGGAAAGCCAGCAGGGAAGGCCACAAATTGCAGTTACGTGACCGCAGGATGCTGCAGCCGTCCTAACTGTAAGCTGGTTGCCAAGCGCCCAGATCACGGTCACATAACTATGGGGGTTCTGGACGGCCGGAACTTCAAAGACAGGCATAACCACCACTCATTCACCACTGTCATAACTTTGGTCACTGAGCAAGTGGTCATTAACTGAGGACTACCTGTATCACAATCCTATAGTCCACTGCAGTTCTCCAGCATAGATAAATGTAACAATATCTGTAAAGCACTCATAACAAACATTTACAAGGAAGTAGTTTGCTATCTGGCACAATTTTCATCGTGTAGCAGTGCTCATGGAGTTATATCTTAGTAGTTCTTATATGGTTGCAGTTTTTCATTTTTGTACATATAGACTCCATTTTATTCGTGATATGCAAAACTCACCATTCCAGAGACAGAATACTGTTTTTCTTGCCAACTGTACCATTTGGAGGTGGTCCAACAGATTTCTGGAAGTGTTCCATCATTAAGCTTTTCCTGTTCTGGGAATTTTATTTCTGCAAAACTATTATACCTTCCCAGGAAGAAATGGATCATTGTGTTCCGATGGGGGAGAGGGGGAGAAGTTCCAGTGTTCCCAGAAACAATTCTGTCCACAGACCAGTGAAGTTTGCCTATCTCTACATTCTATTTTAAGATGTGAAACACAGTTTATGGTATTGCATGGATAGCTAATATAATTACCCAAATTAATTACATTTTGTGTACATGTCAGGATAGAAAAAATGGTAGAGTACATTTGTTTTGAGCATGAAATAAAGGTACTTTAATTTTTGACGATAACCTATTTAAAAATGTTTCTTTGTTCTTTTATATTTGTAGAATCGTTTGGAAGAAAGCAAGGCCTTATTTAAAACAGTAATTACCTACCCTTGGTTTCAGAATTCTTCAGTCATCTTGTTCTTAAATAAAAAAGACCTTTTAGAAGAGAAAATTATGTATTCTCATCTAATTACCTATTTTCCCCAGTTCCCAGGTAAATAATCATTTCAAATAGGGCTTGTCTCTGAAATGCAATGATAGAATTTCTTCTATTCACTTACCCAATCAGCAGTCTCTTGGTAAAACATCTCAGTTACCACAGTTCTCTTCCATACTTCAAAATTTTGTTACTTTATTACTTAGAACATTTAGTGTGTATTATTGTAATTGAAGTTAAACATTATCAGATTCTAATCCTAACAGATGGATACCAATACTAAAACAAAAATTTATCATCTGTTTAAGCTAGCATACTTGAAAACAATGGATTGGAATTAAATAACTCTGCATATGCTAATAAACATAAAAACATTTGGAGATGTAAAATCTGGGTTTCTTAAGTTATCATTTTTGATTTTGAACAGGACCAAAACAAGATGTCAAAGCTGCTGGAGAGTTCATTCTGCAGTTATATAAAGATCAGAATTCAGACAAAGACATCTATACCCATTTTACATGTGCCACTGATACTGAGAACATTCGATTTGTGTTTGCTGCTGTTAAAGACACCATCCTTAATCTGAATCTAAAGGAATTCAACCTGGCATGAATAAAGGCGATTCAGCTACATTCATTTGACTATACTGCATTTTATTTATTACTTATACAAGATAGTTCTGTGTATAGATTTTTAACAATTGTTTATGTCGTTGCTGAACATGGAAGGGGACTCCAATACGTTTAGAACTTTTTAAAGAATAGATTCTGAATATTCTGCTTTTATATGGGGGGGGGGATTTGTGAGCATTTTGGTCTAAAAAAATCTCACGTGCACAGATCCTTTTGCCTTTCATAATTTATAATAGATGTACATTTTAACCTAGTGAGACTTTAGGTATTATAGATTGAGTAATTGTATTGTTATTCAACAGAAAGAGGATTGCTTGGATTTGAGTAACTGCTTATTACATCTGCTTTTAATACTGCCTTTCTCCAAGACCACAATTTCTTTGTAGTGAACAATCAGCCTGAACAGGTGGCAGCACCTGGTTGCTCTTGTCTAGGCTCAGAAGCAAAGTAGCATCAAGCCTGGTTAGTACTTGGGTGTGAACTACCCTGCCCTCCCAGGCTAGATGGAGAAGTCGAAAGAACTGCTCTGATGAAGGCAATAGTTAGGCCCTTAAATGTGCTGTTCCTGTGAAATGTGCATGAAGTTACCATGAGCTGAGCTTCACTGAAGGAGACTTTACCTTTCACTTGTAATTAAACAACTGATGCTAAAAGGACTGTTTGGATGTTTTCTCACTTAATGACAGACAACTGTATCTGATGGGTGCTTTTACGGAAAACCTTGATGCTTTAATGTCAGAGGTTAACAAATGCTATTGTAAAACCAAAGACCTAGTTATTTAAGGGACCACCTTTTCCCAATTACACCTACCTGTCAGGAGGGGTATGTTACAGGTCCCATCTGTTAAAGAATTCCATCTGATGGGAGCCAGAAGATGTTCCTTTTCTGCTGTGGCTCCCCCCCCCCGGAACATTATTTCCCCTGAGGTGAGGTTGGCCCCATCCCTATTAGCCTTCTGGAAAGCCCTTAAAACATGGTTTTTCCAAAAACCTTGGGAATCCAATAGGGAGCCTGAAAGATGACTGCATTGTGCTTCGGATGTTGTTATTCTCCCACATTGTTTTTTTTTTATATTTAATTTTTTTAAATGGTGGTTATATTTGTTTTTAATAGTTTGTTGGTTGTATGCTGCCCAGAGTCATGTTAGCGTGATGGGCAGCTATATAAATTTGATTGATGAATGGATAAATAAATAAATAAATAGTGCTTTTTAGAATCTCCATTATAAACTACTACTTGTTTATAATTTGAATAATACTTTGGTTCTCCATTTGACTCCTTTTAAGAAAGGTTTTACTTGTTCAAAATCTTTTAGCTCATTTACAGCAGCCTACAACTGGATCATTAAAAACAACCCTCATTTTCAAGCTTTATAATCTCAGTGACTCAATACAAAGGGAATAAGGGGAAGAGAAATAAAATATTTGGGCAGCAATCAGATATAGTTCAAGGGAAGGCAGGATGAGCTACATCTATTGGCATTGCCTCTAAAGTGCTGCCAGAGCCTGGCTGTTGCTAGGGGACAATTGTAGGTGGGAGACCATGTAATGTGTGCAAGTCTGGCATTATTTTAAAACAGGTCCTCAAATATTTTTTTGTTTGTTGAAGGAAAAGTACATGTCAGAACATCAGTGGTGCTTGCATCTCTGTGGATCCACAGTCCTTCTCCATGCATAAATATGTTACTATGCTAGTTGGGGGAGAGAATGATCAAAAGAAAGAGATGGTAGTAGTAAGGTAGAGCTTTATTATAGTAAAACAGAAGTTATTTGTATAAGCAGTGGCATTTGATAAAAGCCCTCTGAAATAATTGCCTGCATCTCTTCCTGTTTTTTTTTTAATGAAAAACAATTGGAAGGTGTATTAAAATTATTGCCCTGTCATCTCTATTACATAACTTAGTTTCCACATTCACATTTTTCCCCAAGGATTTTTTTTTAAATTTGAAAAAAAACTTCCATACATAAAAATACATCTGTCTACATAGGCCATGAAAGTTGAGCCATGAAGATGATGATATTGAGCTGACAGATCATACATCTTTTTTTTTAAATTACCCAACTTCTTATCTTTTTTCTGGCTTGGGGTTAACCAAGGTCATATAAAAGGTGCCTTTCTGAGAAGGTGATTTCTTCCTTCTTGCACAGGCTGCCATCACCTGTCTTTTTTGGGGGGGGGGGTGCACTTTACCTTTATAGTCAGGTTTGATATATATTGGGCAAGTGGATAGCTCACCCTTAGTAAAGAATGCTTCTTAAGGGATATGTCTTCAGCATTTGCTTTATAAAATACTATTTCAGCAGAATAAAAATAAGAAAGCAAAAAAACCAAGCCCAACCAAGCCAAGCCAAACCACACCACAAATTGCTGTATAAATGAATGTCTCTACCTAAACATAGACTTTATCTCGAAATAAGTATTCTTGGTTCTTTCTCCCCTCTCAATCCAAGCTGATTTCTTTTCTTCCCTTCATAATCCTTCAGCAATTCCCTAATAACCACATCCTTGAGCTACTGAACAAAATGCAGTCTAAATATCTAACAAATATTTTACATAAAATATGTGGCTATTTGACAGCTTATCTATGAACCCAGCAGATATGGTGAGAAAATGAAAACTACATCCAAACAAAAGGAAAGGTCAACTGAAACAGTGTAAAAGCCATATATGCATTTATTGTATTTCTTTAAAAGTGCTATATAGTTGGCCTGACTGTACAACTAATGCAGCAGTTGAAAATGCTCAAGTGTGATATGACTAGAAGTTAAATCAATGAATCTGGATAGATATCCCAAACTTGAGCCACACAATACAAATTATACTTTGGCATTTCTGATAATTTAATTTATACCAGTTATATCAAGATATAAAAGCTTAAGGGGAACAACACAATGTGTGACTGTCCCGCCTCAAGCTGTTACATAAAACATACCAGAATATATTATAAATACATAATACATATGGTTACATTGGGCATGCCATTTACTTTATTCAGCTTTTACAACAAAGCTACAATTTGGGTAGCTTAAGCACCACCAGCAAGGACTAGTTTCCTTCTACCACAATCCTTCAAACAGTCTGGAAAGAAAATTTTGGCAGCAGACATTTACTACATGCATCAAACTACTCAAATCTGCATTAGGCAATATATTTTACATACATTTGCATTCCATATCTCTTTTATGAAGTAGCCTCTCTCATAAAGGTGTGATAGGCGTTATTTGCATAGTCTAATAAATTAAAAATAGCAATGTGCAACATCTCCCCCGTTCGGATGCGTGTGTGTGTGTGTATGTGTACACACACACACACACACATCTCTATAGCAAAACGTGTGCGGAAATAAGAGTTTTGACATACTGAAAGCAATTTTAATGAATGTTTTAACATTATTTTCTGTTAAATACTCTGTAATGAGCCACAGATTTCTCCCCCCAAGCCCCCAAATCACATAAAAACCCATAGGGACATTCTTGGATAAAATTAGGCATGTACTGCACTTTGAATCCAAAGCTGAAACAGCACTTCAGAGCGGACACAAAAACACATGCATTTTCTTGGGGTCCTTCAGCAAGTCCAGAAAAAAAAAAAACAGCTTCTTTAAGGAGGTGCTGACAGGCGTGATACAAGCCACATTCACTCTGAAACATGCTTTTGACTTCATATCCAAAATGTAGCTGATGCCTAAATGAAATAGTACTGTTTTAGAACTTCGAAACATTATGCTATGTTGATAGTTTTCTGACTTCATTTTGATTCACGCCATTCAAAAAATCACTGAAAAGCACTTTCATACTTTCTTATAGATATCTGCTTAATTGTGAGGCACCAGAGCACTTTGTTAATTTTTGTATTATATAAAAATGTGATTATTAAAAATGGAATTATAGTACCACAAACTCCTTACCTGTATAAAAAACTAAATCACCTCATTATATATATATATGTATATATATGTATATATATTATCTATATCTATTAGTAAATAAAAAGGCTTCTCAAACAAAGCAAGGTCAGCAAGGTCATTCATAATATCAGAACATTGCTGGTTAAATCAGTCTTCCTGAATTAAACTGAATTTCAGTGAATATGTGATGCAGCAATATAGCATTAATTAAAATCCTGATAAACACTGAACAAAAGGAGTTGTGAGAGGGGAAGAACCTGATCACCAATTACATCATAAAACTCTGCTAGGATTTTTAGTCTTGTTGATTATGTGGCAAATCAAAAAAAAAATTAGTCTAGATTTAAACTATTATTATTTACAAATAAAAAGTCTAAGGAGCCACAATTCAGTAGCAGTTTTCAGCAACAGAGCTGTTTGCACATATTGATAAAATCTACTTTTTTCATTGAATAGTGTAGAAGATTCAAAATCAATTGATTTAAATACCCAAAGTTATACTGTCAATCCCTTTGTATTTAAACAGTGTCACATGCTATGAAGTATAAAATAACCAGAGTAGTCTTATTTTATTCATCTTGGAAACTTGAATCACTGGTCATAAGTTTGGTTGGTTCTCCCTCACTTCTTCCAGCTTAGAGAGGATCCACTGTGGAAATTCAAGAGAAATTTGAACAAATCTGAGTTAAATCAGAAGTGATTTAATTAATAAAAATGGGGAAAATTTTACAAACTAATAAAACTTATGCTTAAACACAAAGAATTCATATGATGCGATGAATCCCATAGCTGACACCACTGTGAAACTCCTGGTTAGGTTACACTTGGATGAGTACAACTTCTCTGAGAAATGTCACACCCATGCCTTGCTACTTCTACCATGAAAAATTTGGTGTCGGGGTTATGCAACCTGGGGCACTCCAGTTCTCTCTACAATTCCCAACATCACTAAGAAGCATTGTAAAAGAGCAATGGGAATTGCAGTTCAACAGCATCTGAAGTATTTATTCAATATGCACATATCAGCATGTTGGATTTGTATATTACATTCAGTCAATTACTTCAGAACAGGATAGCAATATATTATGTAGTAATAATATTTTATATTCACCTTAGCATCATCTGGTGTTTTAAAATTAATTATTTTTCCAAATTCTTTGGCATGGAATACAGACTTTACTCGTTCCTAAAACAAACAAACGAACAAGGTTGTCTATTAAATGTGGATTTCCAAATACCTAACAGTGATAATACTTTTTTTCCATTCTAGCAAACAATTCATAAGTTATATAATGAAATTAGCATTTGTTTAAAATTTAGAATGTCTGTCTCTTAATTTTTTCAGATCTTCTCCCCTCCCCCCAAAAAAACCACAGACTGGCTCCCAACTTTAAACGTCTTTTCTGAGCAACTAAGCATTTAGTGCGGGGTGGGTGGGGGAACAGGCAGCATCTTAGGACACTGCTGCAGTTAGAGCAAAAGATGCCTCATCCTCACTCATCACAAACGTTTTAGAACAGTCTGTCTTGGTATCCTCAGATGTGTTGGATTTCAGCTGATTTAGCACAGCTGGAAGCCACTGCATCTTAACCCAGGGACTACCTGTAGATTGGAAAAGGTTGCTGGGTGGTGAGACACAAGATTGTCTTAGGAGAGCAGGCTACAGAAGACTGCTCTGCAGCATTCTGAGACCCTTGTTTGCATATGCATGAACTCAGAGTAGACATTTTGCTAATCGTTATAATTTAAATAAATAAGCTAAAGATTTTATACAAAGTTTAGTCAAACAATAAATTATTTAATACTGCACAAGATGGATTTTAAGCATAGCTATATAGATAAAATCTTTTCAGAGCAGTGACTGAGAAAGGATCCCAAGTCCTTCCTGCAGCTGTAAAATAATTTTGTTAATAGGACAAAAGAGGGACAGCACTAAATACGTGGTGAAAGAATCCTATCGTTTTATTAATTGTTCTGCCCCTTCCATTTTGTGGAGGACAACTGCAAGAGTGTAACTTAGAAGTTCAATTTGGCACAGGAAAGGTTCCAGATCTTGACTTATGCAATGACCCAAATGCTCTTAAATGAAAAAAGGTTAATTTCTAAAGCATCTTTTATTATATGTAACATATACATGGAAATAAGTGTAACAGAAAATTGGGAACTGCTTCAGGGTAATGGAATGGCTTTCGCTTCTTGGCCAAATCACAGCTACATGGTATAGATCCATAGGAAAGAAATGCTGGAAAAGACTTACTGTCTTCCAGTAAGCATTTTTTTATAGTACTGAGCAAGAAGGGAGGCAACAGTAATAGTTTGTGAGATGGTAAAGGTAAGGGAAAAAAGACCGAAGAAACAAATGAAACTCAAGTTCCATGAAAAAATATATATATTTATAGTTATAACATGTCCTTTATTGGCTTGGTATTTAAGTATTATTCTTAGAAAAATTGCTTGTTAATATAATCGTATTTTATGAAGGTTAATCAAATAATTTGTTTTGTTCCATCTCTACCATCCATAACTATACCTTTGCTTCAATACGCAATCTTCGTCCCTCAACAATGAATGGTTTCTTCGTAAATTCATCATAAGTGTATTGCCATTCACATGTTAACTGTCCAAATGTACCTCTTGTCACAAACAATATGCCACTGCACAAGAATACAAGACAAATCATTAAAACAAATAGAAATACAATCATATAACTGTATTTTTTGAGAAAAGGTTTAATTAAGTTTCAGCATCATATAACATCCAGTTTAAAATTCTCTCAATTCCACAGAGGATTATTTTTTATTGATTGATCTGATCTGTATAGTCACACAACTCACAAAAGTGACTGAGTAGCTTACAGTTGTATAGAAGCATAAAAACAAAAGAATTAAAAAGAAAACTCAACAAGCATCCAGAACCAAAACCAAAGTAATGTCCAATAAAGAGATACTTGGGATAATATTCTTTGAAAAAAAAGAATATGTTTTAAAATCTCAGTAGCAATTCATGTAATAGGTATTTTGTATTACCCAGATCTCCAAAACGATGGGGCAGGAACAAGACAGCAACTTCTCAGATGTCTAATGTGACCATATCTAATTATCACAGAAAAATTTTGCCATATGAGAAGCTACATTGAAACAACAACCAATTTCAAAATATGTTTCTCATGTGGTGTGCATGGAAATGACATTTGAGAAAAGTGTCATGACTAAATGACTAAAGCTTCTTAAAAATGAGGAACTAGTTAGGGTTTCAAACATGTATTAGCATTTTACCAGGGTAGGAAAAAAATTACTTTAAATGTTTACAAGTAAATCATAAAATATAAAAGTATACACCCCGATTTCAAAGTTTGTGTATGTCATAATATACCATATATTTATATACATATACATATACATATACATACATTATATATATATATATAAAAATATAATATACCATAGAACTGTTTTTTTACAAAAGCTTTTCTATCCACACAAGTGAAGTAGAAAGATATTATATTGTGCTCTTTTATTACAGAGAGTAAGGACCTTTCTGTTGATACAGAGCTTCAGTACACAATATATTTCTGCTTCACAAGCATCTGCTACATCATAAATAGCATTGTTACTTACAAAAAATAAAGGCTGATGGCAATCAAAATTGCTGCACACACTCCATGCGCTTATGTTCAAGTTCTATGTATCTAATTCCAAATTCATTTTCATGCTTAAAAAAAACCCTTATCCATTCCAAAATTATTTTTTTCCTTTTTATTTACTCTAATTTAAAGTGAATTAAGCACTAATTACAATCCAGATGTTCATAATAAGGAAATGCAATTTAAGAGCTAGAAATCTATTTTTACTTTTATCACACACTCCTTTTTTTTAGCATATAAGACCTGAGGGCAGGGGTTATCTTTCTACTCATATTTCTAAGTTGCTCTGGGAACCATTTTGACTAAAGAGAACACATAAATCGTTTTGCTTAAAATAAGAAAGAAAAACTGGAGGAATCTTACCTTTTGGTAACCATTAATAAATCTGTATTATTAACCATTGCATGTGTAAAGTATCGCAGTTTTGCAAATCTTCCATTTTCAATATTCTAAAAGAAAAAAAAAGTTGTATAGAGTTCCCTAGAATACAGCACCTTAATTTTGAAAAGATTTATATTTAATATATACTAATGCATCAAATCATATTAAAACTTTATACAAATATGCATGAATTTCATACTTTTAGTATCCTGAATATTTATTATGAGCAAACAGCTCTCTCTCTGCTAGCTTTATCCTGCATCTCATTGCCTGCCTGCCATCGATCCATCTGTCCATTCAATCATACTCCACACAATTCTTGGACTATCTGAAATATCAGATGCAAAATAGCATTGTTTCAAGAATAATTAATAGACTACTCTGAGACAGTTGAAATGTTTAAAATACTGTATTTTTCAGGTTCTATGAATTTTAAATCAGTATAGATATCTTGGATTAATACAGCATTATTCAAGATAAAGAACAAATTCCACCCTTCTTTTGGGAAGGCTCTCAGTAACCAAAAGGAAAATAATCAATATGGTGATCGTATACTTTCATACCTTCATTTCCAAAGGTACATGTTTAAAAGCCTAAATAATGGTTTGTATATAAGTTGAATAACTTAAGATATTAAGGTAGTTTGTTCACCACATTCATGAACAAAAAAGGAACAAATAAAACCACTCTCTGTGCTAAATATAACCTTCTCTCCCATTAAAGACTTCTAAATACAAAATTAAATATTTTTCTTATCAATGAATCATTACCCATCCCTCAAGTCACACAATACCCTGAGCCAAAAGACATATACATTGTATAAAAATTTAACCAGAGCAATGTATTCACATCCCAGCATATTTAATTTTTTGAGATGGTTGATACATTTTGATGTTTCTTTGAATGAATATAAAAATTCAATACATATGCCTTGCTGAATATTTATTTGGTATTTACAGATTCCTTTCACAACTAATCCACCGAAGGAATTTTTCTAGTAAAATAAAATTCTACTTTTATAAGCATAACGGTTGAATCAGCCATATATTGGTGGGGGGGGGGGAGAGAAATCAAGTAATCAAAAATGATTAAGAATAGTGAAAGGCATAGAGCATGGTTAAATTATCAACACAAGGGTTGCATGCAGAAGTTTAGCAAAGGAATTCAGGAGGTAGCACTGAAAAGAGATAATCTAATATTCTTGCTAGCGCTCTTCTGAACAGACCTCGTAGGTTTATCTGGACACCTGAGTAGATTCATTGTATAGAAGGAATGCCTGGTCCCAAACCTTTTCTTTAAAGCACTAAAACATAGCTCTAAAAGGTCCCTGGCAATAGTAAATCTAATGCAAAGTAGGTAATACCCTGGCCCTCAGATAAAACAAGGTAGTTGTATTCTGCACAAATCAGAACTTCTCAATTATCAAAAGACTTGCATATATGAATACAATAATCTAGTTTTAAACATAGCCAGAACATGTGTGACTTTAGGAAGCATGCCTTCTGTGGATAAGGTTAAAGCTGTGCCATCAATCTGATCAGATCAAAGTGCTTGCTATCCACACAATCTGTTCCACTAAAGTAGTAAATATAAAAACAGCTCCAAATATGAATATTTTGGGGTGGGGATGGGAGGTATACTTCATCCAGAATCAGTCATACATCTGTATCTAGATCAGATTTTCCCACCCATAGTATTACCCTTTTATAAGAACTATTTCAATTTGTTGTGTTCCATATATTGCATTTATATAATACACAGAATGATCACATTGTTTTAAAAACAAGATCTCAGAAATCCTAACAGAACTCCTTGAAGGTATTACTCCTATATTTTTGCAGATGTGGACTAAAAAAATAGAAGATGACTGTGATGACTATCTTCCAGCTCACATCCAACATTTTTTTTAAAATGCAGTTATCTCCAATTACAGATCTTTAAAAAATGTACTGCTGAGGTATACACCACAGATACATGTATATAAAAGCAGGGTGACAGGAAACTGGTTTTAATAGTTCAAGAAAAATGTCCTGACTGTTTCAACATAGTTAACAGTTATCTAACAAATATTACATCTAAGGAATCTTGTTGAACAGAACTGCAGACAGGCTAGAAGATCTATTCCAGCACTATGATTCTATGGCATACTGAAAATGGAGCATGCTGCCATTTTGATAAACAGTTTTATTTTGTCATTTGGCTATTCTACATACAGTGCATTTGGGAAGTATTCAGACCCCCTTCACTTTTTTCAATTTTGTTATGTTGCAGCCTGATACTACAATAGTTCAAATTCTCAGACCCCCTTCACTTTTTTCAATTTTGTTATGTTGCAGCCTGATACTACAATAGTTCAAATTCATTTTTTTTCTCATTAATCTACACTCAGTACCCCATAATGACAAACTGAAGGCAGAATTTTAGAAATGTCTGTAAATTTATTAAAAAGAAAAAACTGAAATATCACATTGGCATAAGTATTCAGATCCTTTGCAACAACACTTAAAATTTAGCCCAGGTGTCTTCCATTTCTCTTGATAGTTGCTGAGCTGTTTCTACACCTTGATTGGAGTCCACCTGTGGTAAATTAAATTGAT